TTACGTTGATTAAGTCGCTAAATAATCAGAGCGTAATCAATCAGAAAGGAATGTTTTGCCCTCGTCATGATTCTATTTGAGGTGATGCTTCACTATTCAGTAACATGGCTTTTTATAAGGAATCTCATATGCTAATAAATTGCAATCACTGGTAATATGATGGGAGTGTGTCCTGATCAAAGTACTTTTTTAAAAAAAATTGTAAATTGGTTTTATAGTTTATTTCATACTCTTCATATACAACTTTTGTATTTTGCATTATGTGAATTTAGTTTTTTAAACGATCACAATGCTGATGAATCGTTCATTTGTTGCAAAATGTGATAATTAATCCTCATTTCCTTAACATCAAATCATTATTGATAATAAAAGTGTCATACCAAGATTGGTCCTAAACTCAAGCATATCAAACCTGAGTTCGCGATGATCGGTTTTGCTACAAACGGTATACTTTTTAATGAAAATGTGTGATACAATCATTTTATATTTTCTCTTGTATTGCGGTTTTATAATACTCAAGACCGGCTACTCCACAAAATATAAATAATCACTATATATTTTTATCAATTTTTCGTCTCCATCCTCCTGTTGATAAACAAAATAGAGATCAAGATTAGATGGAGCTAAATATTTAAAATCATACGAAACAAAACAAATGGAACAGCAACCAACTAATGCTATTGGCTTTTCTTTTGGACAGTGGAAATAATTAGGCTAAAATGGTTGAAAGCGCTGTAGCCAAGTCAAGACAAAAAGTTCTTAGGCGACAAATTCTCCATATAGTTTCGGATTTTGTAAAGTTTTAATGCCCTCGATATATCAAAATTTTGTACATGAAATAGGTGTATGGATTAGTTTCGGAATCATGATATTTTGTTTATCCAAATTGTTTTGTTATGTGGATAGTTAGTTATGTCTCTCGTAGGTGAAAAAGCATTTCTCTATGCAATGTTAACATTTTCCAAAATATTTGATTTTTGATATATGCATGAATAAGAAAAAAAGAATGGTTTGCTATATATTATTTGATATCAAAGTGTAAGCCCTACCATATAAAAAAAAAAAGTGTTGGGGGACGAAACTGGAACTGGAAGATGCCATAATCTCAATTGGGCCAGTCAGTCTATGTCCAGTAAGTTGGACTTAAAAGCCCAAAGCCAACGAGAAGGACTATTGCATGGAAATTTGTCGTAAGTGCATGTCGTACTTGAAGTATATAGTGTTGTAGACTAGCGTAACTTTAATCTGCCATAGAGTATTTGTGTAAAATTACAAATTATTGAATATATATTTTTTGAGTAAATTTGCATAGATAACTAAAACATGTGACGAAGATTCGTATATTTTCTTTTTTTTTTGAGAAAGTATTCGTATATCTTCTTTTGGAGTTCATTTTGATTAGATTC